TTATACATTTTGGCCCATCCAGGCCAGTGTAATTAAATCTCCCTCCTCTTCTTGATCAACTCCTAGCTGTTCTAAATTTCTCTTGCAATATGTATGCAGCTTTTTTTTTTCCTGGAGACGTTTTTCATGCATTCTATTGGATGACTTTAAGCTGCTCTAATTTAGCAGTGCTTTGGGAACCTGATGCGTTCACACCCACGTTGCTTATTTTCTTTTTGAAGAGTTTTCTGTTATTTTTCCAGAGCTATTCTCTTGCTGTGTTCAGAAAATTGCCTGCTTTTTAGTTCTTTTTTTCTTGTATATTTGAGCCTCCTTTTGCTTCACACCTCTACTAAGTTTCCCTTAAGTTACAAAATACTGCTGACACAAGAATCAATTATATCTGTGAAGAGCTATCTGAAAAAAGTTCCAGGGATAGTTGATGTTTCTAATTAAAAAAAAAAAAAGAGTCATGATTAAGTCAAAATATATTTTGTGTTAGTTTGTTTATTCCTTGGATCATTATGTATGGGTCTTCAATAATTAAAAAAGCAAACAAGGCACTTCCTATCTCTCTTTATGAATGCTCTTTATGAGATTTGGGCTGTTTGGGAGCTGTTTTAACTTGACTTATATCTGCTTGCAGAATCAGGAAAAACTGGTCTCCATCTCATCGGTTGTAGGTAGACCATATATGGTATGGAAGAGCAAAGGCTCCACATTCTGGCTGTAAATTTACAATGTTATATAATAATACTGCCACCTAATGGATACCTGCATTATTGTTTAAATCTTATGTTGGTAGGTGATTGCTATTACAAAAAAAAAAAAAAAAAAAGCAGATAATAACAGAATAACAGAGCTGGAAGGGACCTTGGACGTTTTCTGGTCCAACACCCTGTTCAAGCAGGAGACCCTAACCTCGGCTCTTTTATGACTCATGGACTTCAACTCCCAGAATTCCTGAATCAGCATAGCTGACTCAGGAATTCTGGGAGTTGAAGTCCATGAGTCATAAAAGAGCCGAAGTTGCCTACCCCTGCCCTATACCATTCCAGACAAATGGCTGTCCAGTCTATTCTTAAAAGCCTCCAGTAATAGACCTTTCTATCCCTGCTACAAAGCTGCTGAAACCTTAAAAAAAAATTGCATAGCTTTGCTTTTTTCTCCTAAGACAATATTATTTCAAGTTAGAAATGTGTGTTAATTCAAAATGAGGTATCATTTCTAAATAAGCTAAAAAATTCCAACCTTTACATACATTGAGGCTTTGGCTTGTGGATCATATCTCAGAGTTATTGCTTTTTCATAATGTTTTTATTAAATTTTTATGGAAAAGAGAAAATGAACAAGAGAGGAAAAAGGGAAAATAGAGTACAAATAAGGAACATGAAATTAAGCTAAAATGTTCAATCTTTCATTGATTTTTTTAAAGTTACTGAATACACTATATTGTTTTAAAACTACAAATGTTAAAATCTAAGTAATATCTGAATATCCATTAATAACAGCAGAACAAACCATAAGGTGAAACTTTGAACTATAGTAATTTGTGAGGAATTTAAGATTTAATATAATAGAAATATAAACTTCAGATGTGCTGCCACTCTGCATCTAGAGTTATAATCTATCTCTCACTAAAACCAACATGGGGAAAGTTTGAAGACTACCATTAGACATGAAAAAAATGTGGAATATATTTCTCTTCACTGCTTTTCATTTACAGCTGTTTTGCCTTGGTTACACAAGTTTTATGGACTGGTTCGGATGCTATGTCTCAATTTATGCATCTCATTAAACCAAGTTTAATAGATTTTGGTTTAGAGCGTGCCTGGTTGAGGAATTCTGGAAGTTGAAGTCCACGAGTCATAAAAGGGCCAAGTTTGGAGACCCCTATTTTAGAACATTGTCTGAATCTAGACATTTTGGTTTGTCAGCTGAAGTTTATGCTTTATTTAACACAGTGCTTCCCAAACTCGCGTGAAGTAACCAAAATTGTATAAAAGTGATTTTTCTTTGAATAAGGGGGGGGGGGAAAGAAAAATAGAAAAGAAAAAAAAATACGACAATCTGTATTTTGATTTACAATTATAAATCGACTTCTTTCTCTAAAGTTATATCAGGACTCTATACTGCATTTGTATCTGTAGTTATAGCAAAGGTTTTGTATTGTTCAGGGTCAAACCAGAAAATGCTAAAGCAGATTAATAAATAAATAAAAGGTCCCCGACCTTTTGGGCACTAGGACCAGTGCCATACAGAAAGGTTTTTCCATGGACTAGAGGAGGTATGGTTTTGAATACTGCCTGCATTCAGAGGATGGAGCTTTGCTTGTTTGTGTATGCTATGGATGGGGGGGGGGTCTGAGGACCTTTGTGGTAAAATACAGGGGAGAATTGGAGGCAGATGAACTATGACAGAATTGGTTAGATAAATTGCAGCGCTAAACGTATTCTTTCATTGCTTATAGCACCTACTTTACCTCTCTTTTCCTGCACTCTAGTAGGCAAACATTTTGGGATGAGGAGCACATTTGAGTTTGGGAACATGTATTGAGAACTCTCATAAAATGGCTTTTATGCATGTGGAAAAGATTAGTCAGTCATAACATGACTATTATGGAAGGTGGAATTAGTCACGGATCAAACTGGCCAACTTGTCCCTCACCATCCCATGTAATGCTACCTTAAATCTCCCTCCGATGCTACTATTTACCACTCTATCTTAACTTAGCCTTATTTTCTGGAGAGGTGGGTATATTTCCAAGCAAAATACTGAGTTGCATCTAATTATACAGTACTCCATTTAATAGAAGAACGCTTTTCATCTGTTCTCCAGCTTCCTTGTGAGTAGCGCCAGGTATGGAAATCAATAATTGGTTATCTGTTATCCTTTTCTCTACAAGATACTTAATTATCCTAAGTAAGAAACAATCATATTGCTTCCAACCACCTTTCCTTAGATCAGTGGTTCTCAACCTGTGGGTCAGGACCCCATTTGGGGTCGATCGACCATTTCACGGGGGTCGCCAAACAAGGCTGTCCGCCATTTTTTCCCCCTTTTCTTTGGCCACGCCCCTGGCACCCGGTGATGCATAAGTGGTTGGGGGTTACCACAACATGGGGGTTACCTGCAACATGGGGTTGCGGCATTAGAAAGGTTGAGAACCACTGCCTTAGATGCAACTAAGTCTAGGTGTGTACAAGTTTATAAGAAAAGTAGTCAGGAGGACAGCTAAATTTTTCTTGAGAGTTTTAGAATGAATATCCAAATTATAGTTCTGAACTATAGGAATACATCTATTAAACAAATGTATGATTAGAGAAAAGCAAGAAAACAAAATCAAACATGCAAAAGGAAACAACACTTTTATACACAACATTAGAATAAATGAAGTTTCACATTGCTCTAGACTAGAGTCATCCAAAAAAGCATACTCAAAATTCACATAAGATTTACACAAGATTCCACTTGACCACTTTTATATAATTTGAAAACAACACGTATTACAAAGTTTATGGAAATACAAAATGTATGAATAAGTAAGAAGATGCTGGATAAGTTTATCTCACAGACGTAATTTTTAATCGCATTTTTGTTTTAAAAAGTATGCTTTAATTTGACAGTTTTCTAATCATTACAGACAGCTTTGTTCTCCAAAAGAGTCCTAAATAGAGATGGCAGATATGCATTGCAGATACTAAATCCTCTGAAAATATTAAGTTTCTGTTGGTTTAATAAATTCAGATTAGAAATAGGTCTCAATAATTATCATTAGATTCAAAACTCCTGAACAAATTCTCCAAACCAACTATTACATTAATGGTTTCTATTGACGTCTCAATATACATTTTTTTTAAAAAAATCAAGTTACACTGTTTACAAGCTTAAATCTATGTTGTCTATTGTCCTTAATATATTTTGGGACAGAAAGAGTGATAATTTTATACTTGAATTCTCAATATTGTATTTAATTAAACATCATAATTATTCCCATTTTAGCTCTGTTATTTGCTGTTTTGCATCTCTCTGGCTGCAATCCCACCCAATTCAGATGAACATAGGACTGTATTGTCTTTAGCTGTAGAATTATGTTACCATCAAGTCAGAATTCTGACTGCCACACATAATCATACAATCAGTGCAATAAAGGCCTCCTTTCTTTACTGTCTTTCTTGGAGATGTTCAGTAACATCATTTGATGTAGAAGTAAATACCACTGACTTTAATAAAATGTATGGCCAGTAAGTTTGCTGAAAACTGTCCAAGTCTATTTAACATTCCATGAGATTAAAACCCATTGAATATAGTTGCCCTCATTTCTAGATAAAAGTGCTAGAAACATATTGTAAGTTTAATTTTTAGAGGTAACATTTCCTGTTCACAGATATACACAGTAAAGCAATAGATCAGCATGAAAAGCTCAACATGAAAGCATGCAGAAAACAAGCGTTTCTTAAAATTCCGTTTTTCTGTGAATTCTCAATGAAAGAAAAAAAAAAAACCTGCATAAGAAGCAATGACAAATAACAGGAAAGTTTGTACAAGTAGTCCTCGACTTGCAACAGTTCATTTAGCGGCCATTCAAAGTTACACCAGTGAAAAAAGTGGCTTCTGGCCATTTTTCACACTTATGACCCTTGTAGCATCTCCATGGTCACACGATCAAAATCCAGACGCTTGGCAACTGACTCATACTTGTGACGGTTGCAGTGTCTCAGGGTCATGTGATCCCCTTTAGCGACCTTCTGATAAGCAAAGTCAATGGGGAAGCCATATTCGTTGAACAACCGTGTGACTAACTTAACCACTGCAATGATTCACTTAGTAACGGTGACAAGAAGGGTCGTAAAATGGACAAAATTTACTTAACAAATGTTTTGCTTAGTATCAGAAATTTTAGGCTCAATTGTGGTAATAAGCTGAGGACTACCTATAATGATCATTTGTAAAGAGATGTGTTGATTAAGCATACTGTAACTGTTCTTTTTGAGTAATGGGTCTTTCTGGAATTTCATCAGGAACAAATCCAGCCAAAAGAGGATTTTCATCCTCTTTTCCATCTCCTGTCTTCATAGCCATATTGAGCTTGTGCCAAAACAATGGAATTTCCCGCTTATCTTCTGGCCATTTGAGGTAAGTTTTTGTCTTTAGCAATTTTCTCATTCTGTGATAGGGGGAAAGGTATTCAGCAGGAATGTCTTCCAGGAAGATAAGAACCAGGACATCCTTACGGTCATCAAAGATGCGAAAGCTTGCTACTTGTATCTCCTTGGAGCACCACTCGCTTTCCAGATAATGGCGACTTATTATACAAATAGTCTTCCTGCTGGCGTAGATATTATCTACAATGTTTTCAAGGATGGGCCGTCCTGGCTCAAAATCCCGTTGATGCAAGCAAACTTTCCAACAATATTGGTTTTCCAGAACTGGAAGTAGGTCATCCACTACCCACTTTTCATCATGGATGTTGAAGGAAAGAAATGCATCATAATCGTATCCCGTACCTTGCCTCTTCCTTTTTTGTTTCTTCTCAATATAATAAGCAAGCAATAGATGGAACATATAGACCATGTGCAATTTCCATTGATAAAAGAAGCAGACAAGCATAAGTGAAAGAACTGCTGTTGTGTTTGCAATAAACAGGATCAATTCATGATCAACAAAGCAAGAAGATGTGTTAAAAGTCCACAGTAGTTTTCCCTTATATGCTTGAGGGAAAGTGCAAATATACTCATAGAAATGGAGCACCTGAGTTTTAGGATTCTGTAATGACCACTGGAGAAACATTTGGTTGCTACAAGTACAAGTGAAAATATTTTGCCTGAGATCTAGGAAAAGAAGGGAAGGTAAAGTGCTTAATTGCTCTTCAGTGATAACATCTAGAAAATTTTCAGTAGCTCTGAAGAGAGTCAGTCTTGAAAGATTGGCATTGAGAAAAAAATTGAGAGATGTCAGCTTATTTCTATTCAGGTGCAATTCTTTCAGCTTTGATATAGGCTGGAATAAAGTATTGCTTAGTGAACTAAGTTTATTGTTGCTCAAATCAAGCTCTTGAAGAGTAGGAGTAAAGTTAAATGTCTCTTGCTCTAAAAAAGAAATGGCTAAATTGCCTGCATGGAGCTGTACAATGGATTCCAAACCGTCTAAAAAATTCACTGGAAAATACTTAAGTCCATTACCACCCTGGCTGTTTATCTTTAGTTTCTTTAAAGACCTCAAAAGTTTAAAGGGTGGATTGGCAAGCATTTTTGAGGATTCATAGCTGATACGATTATTAAAAAGGTCAAGATCTGCTAAAGAGCTTGCACCTTGAAAAAAGTCTCCCCGAAAAGGTTTTTTACCAATCCTGTTATATCCAAGAATAAGAATCTGTAGATTGCTCAGACCTTCAAAGGCTCCTGGTACTATTGTGTCAATCTTATTGTCTGCCAGATTAAGAAGCTGAAGAGAAGAAAGATGCTTAAAAATGCCCTTCTCTATGGTTTCCAAATCATTTTGCCTGAGCACCAACACTTCCAGTTTATTTAGGCTTCCTGAGAAAGGTTGTGTGATTGCTTTTAAAGAATTTTGCCCTAGATTTAGTTCTTGCAAATTGCTTAGATTATCAAAGTTATGTGAAGAGACAAAATCAATCTGGTTTCCATTGATGCAGAAGATCTTCAAATTCTTTAAATATCTGAAGTCATCAGAAGTAATTTTTTTGATTTCATTAAAGCTAAGATCTAGGCTTTCTAATAATGATACATTAGGAGTAATAATTGGTTCAGGGGTGGATATGTTGTTTGTCCAAAAACTGGAATGTAACAAATTCAGTGATAGAAAAGATGCCATTGGTAGGCTTTCCAACTTATTAAATGACATATTCAAAAACTTTAAATTTGTGCAATTTTCAAAAGCCCCTGCCTTAATGCTTGTGAACTTATTGCCTTGAAAGTTAAGACTTTGCACTTGCTGGTGCCATTGGCATACCTTTTCTATAAGGTTATCTGATTCGGTTATATTTAACTGGTTTAGGTAGATAATCTCTAACTGAGAACAATTCAGCATTTGGATCACTTTTGATATTTCAGATGGCTTCATTGCTATCCCTCCTAAGTATAAAGCCTTTAAGCCTTTTAGAAAGCAAGAGTCTTCTATTTCCCATAAAACAGAGTCATTGGCAATGACAAAAGATAAATCAAGTGAAAAAAGTCTGTGTAAAACTGGCGTTGTAATATTAATGAGGGAAATAGGATTGTAGGATACATCCAGCTCAAGAAATGGAGGAACACTAATAATTTCTTCAGTTGTTAAGTTCTGCAAGCCATTGTCTTTGATGTGCAACTCTCTTAAAGATCCCATATTTAAGACAGCATGCATAGCACTCAGGGTATACAATTTGTTTGAAGATAAATCAATTACCTTTAAATTCTCCAAGTTGGCAAAGGCAGAAGGATTGATCCTGTATATTTTATTGCTGGAAAGCAGTAAGGTGGTAAGATTCATGAGCCCGTCAAACATAAAACTGGAGAGAAGCTGCAGCTGATTTGCACTTAGGTTCAAAAACTCCAAGTGGCTTGTATGAATAAAAGTACCATCCTCAATTTTACTTATATTATTCTGGGAAATGTTGAGAGATTGCAAACGGCTGAAGTTCTTGAAGTCATTCTTTCCCAGACTTGATATACTGTTCTGAGATAAATCCAAAAACACAAGTTTAGTTGGTAGATAGGTTGGGATTTCTAACAGTTTCTGATTGTAGCACAGAACTTTTGTTTTGTTCCCAAAGGCGTTATGGACCTCACACTTGTTAAATGTGTAAGAAGTTACTGTTTGATCTTGATTAAGCACAAAAAGCCACATTGATAGAAGTGTCTGAAAAAACATTCTCTAAACAGTTTTTACAGCTCTGTGAGAGTTCAGAATATGAAAGGGTTGTTACTGCTGTGAAATATCTGTATATAATCCAGTTGATGGTGTAACAAGAGGAATGTTCTGAATGAGGAACATCAAAAATAAAATGTAAACTTTTTTTTTTTAGTGTGACATTTTCTTACTTTGCCTTCCTTGTGTTCATTAGAAAAAAAGGAAGCAAAACTGGTGAAGATGAATTTGCAATTTAATTTATGTTCTGGGTTTGGTTTAACAAGTATATAGATCAGGAGTCTTCAGACTTGGCCTTTTATGACTTGTGGACTTCAACTCCAAGAATTCCTCAGTCAGCATGCCTGGCTGAGGAATTCTGGGAGTTGAAATCCACAAGTCATAAAAGGGCCAAGTTTGAAGACCCCTGATACAGATACTTAAAATGGGTTTGACTGCAGATTCAATGTAACTATCTGTAGAAAAGTCTTCCTTCCTTCCTTCCTTCCTTCCTTCCTTCCTTCCTTCCTTCCTTCCTTCCTTCCTTCCTTCCTTCCTTCCTTCCTTCCTTCCTTCTCCTCTTCCTTCCCTTCCCCTCCCTCCCTCCTCCTTCCCTCCCCGTCCCTTTCCCTTCCTTCCTTCCTTCCTTCCTTCCTTCCTTCCTTCCTTCCTTCCTTCCTTCCTTCCTTCCTTCCTTCCTTCCTTCCTTCCTTCCTTCCTTCCTTTCCCTAATTATAAAGCTGATAGACCTTCCAGCCTTCAGTCTTGGGAAAGGTTCTTGAAAAGATGATCAAGTGCCATTCTAACTAGTGCCCTAATAGAAGCAGGTTATCTGAAGCCCTTTCAGTCAGGGTTCAGACCTCACTGATTTAGGGATCTTGATGGGAGGGGTGGAAAACTCTTTGGTCTTATTTAACTTCACAGTGCCATTCTATATTATCTACTTACTGCCTCCTAGCATTAAGGATGAGGAATAATCTCCTTTCTAAGTAGATGGTTCCAATTGGTGGAGAGAAGACAGGCGAGTGTAATGGATGCTACTGCAAAGTACAGAGTCTGTTTTTTAACAATCATATGTAATAACTAGGAGAGGTCATTTCAGATTCAGGCATCACCATTTATTTACTAACAGTATTTAAAAGCTGCCTGATCTATATGAACTCAGGATGGCAGCAACAGTTCCACTATACAATTAGAGCAGTCAATAGAAATAAGAAACTGTCTGTGATGGCCACTCAGATATAGCTAGAAGCTGAAAGCCTAATAGAAGAATACTAATTTAACTTGCTTCTGGAATGCAATGAGGATTGAAACCACTCATTCTTCTGGGAAAAAATATGTCCTATTGATTGAAGGGCACCACTGTCACCTGATTCTCAACTAATGTCCTTCACAAGGGAGTGTGGTTCAACAGGCTCTCACTAGATGTTTCTGCACTGTATGGGAAGATTCTATTTTGACAAGTTGTTATTAGTTATGTAAGATATCTCTGCCATAGAGACCTTGACTTAATATATGGAGGCTGGGCAAGCCTGGATGGATTAAAACAATAGACTGGCAAGATAGAATTACTGTTTGTCCATAAACACCTGACTTTCTGTTGTGTTTTTAATGCTAAATGGGATGCCACCTCCCTTGAAGAAGAATTCCACAAATACAGGTTTCTCTTGAACTCGCTGATACTGTTGGCTTCTACGGAGACTACATCTAATAGAACCTTCACCCAACTTTAGTTGGTGCACCAGTTAATGGTCTTGTCTGGAACAAGAAGACCTAGCAATGGTAACACATGTCATAATTATTACAAGATTAGACTATAGCCATGCACTATAGCCAGCCTTTGAAAAAAACTACCTAGAAAATACTGTACATTTGGTACAATCACTACAGGCTTATAACACCAACTTCTCAGATGCTCTACTGGTTCTGATATGTTTCTAGGCACATTTCAAAGTGCTGGGATTGATTTAAGCTCTACACTTGCACATGTTTCAGTCATGTTTCGGACTGGGATATAGTATGGAGACAGCATTTATTGCTCTTATTGATAATGTTTGGTGGAGCTGGGATAATGCAGTAGCTCAATGCTTGTGCTTCTTGATCTCTCAATGGCTTTCGATAGCATTGTCCACAGTATCCTTCTGACTGGCTGTGGAATTGGGAGTGGGAGACACTGGTTACTTCTGCACTTTCAGCTACTGCTCAAAGAGCAAGTGACAACCGTGGCCAGGAGGATCTTTGCACAGGTTCATCTTGTGCACCCCTTCACCTTTTCCTGAATTGGAAAATCCTTCAGATATTTATTCATGTCCTCATCACTTCACAACTGGATTATTGCAATGTACATGGGGCTGCTTTTGAAGACCACCCAGAAGCTGCAGCTGGTTTAAAATGCTGCATCAGTTTTCAGTATGCCCATATGTCACTGCTGCTATGCAAACTGCATTGGTTGGCAGCTAAGTGCAATTCAAGTTGTTGGTTGTTACCCATAAAGCTCTTTATGACATAGGTCCTATCTGAGGGACAGCCTATCTCCAATTGTTTTATCCATCTAGAATGCTCTGGTAGAGTACATGACTCCAGGCACTCCGAGTCTCCACTATTAAATCTGAGGAAGCATGTCTTCTCTGTCACAGTCATTGGCATTTGAAACATTATCTCCAAATGGATGGTGCCTACTCTCCTTGGGGTTCTGGAAAGCCCTTAAGGTTGGACTTTAGCCCTAGGCCTGGAGTTAATATATTTTTGGGAGACCTGTTATTGCTGTTGTAGACTGTATTGTACATTTTTAACTGCATGTACTACATTGGGATTTTGTAAGCTGCCCAAAGTGGAGTGAGTGGCAGTCATCATGATCATGCATGGCTGGGCTCCAAAGTATGTTCAGGACTGCCTTTTCCATCTGGAACAATTCTGATCTCAGATGGGGAAGCTCAAAGTCTGCTACATTTGTTTGATATGGGAATGGGAACCTGGAGACTCAATTTTCCCTCCACTCCCCCTTATGGAATATCCCTCTCTCAGGGATATTGTTACTTTTTTTGAATATTTATTATATGCTTTTATTTTATATTGTAAACTGTTAAAAGGCATTTTTATTAGGGGGCAGACTCCTCAAATCCTATTAAAGCATTTAAGGTCAACATTCCAACAAAAGGAAGTATTTTGAAAAAAAAACCATTCTGGTAAAAGAACCAGCGATACCCTAAATCTTAGTTCTGACAGATACAGAACACTCCTTGTTTAGCATCAAGATTCTAGCAGGATTGGTACAGAGAAAATCATTGAAAAATTGGGAGAAACAAGAAGAATGTGAACATATTTCCTCCTGCTCTGTCAGAAAGAGTTTGTCAGGACAAGAAGACATCATGGAAACTTCTCTGTGTAAAGAATATAAGTACTGTATATAAGTAGTTGGAAACTTTTGTCTTTGTGGTTCATATGTTTCTGTTTTGCAAGGCAACAGGAAATGAGGCAGAATAAAGGGGGAAAAACAGTGATTTCTCAATAATAATGAGACATATAGACTGCCAATTGCCCACAAGGGTAAGGAATTCTTGAAGCTGCAGATGCAATGTATCTGAAAGTGCCAGCTTGGGGAAGCTTGCCCCACCCTATGGCAATAATGTGGTGGCCATATTGCTAACCAGCAACATTTTTGTAGATGTTAAAACACATGAATGGAATCTAAGAGTAGTGATGCTTTGGATGAATGGATGGATGGATGGATGGACCAATCAGTCCTGTTTTTATCTGTTTATCCATTTATTTAGGCCTTTTCTTCCTCCTCTGATAAGCCCATGGTGACTCTAACTCTTGTGTAAAATGTATATTCTAAGCCAGGGCTTTTCAACCTTTTCACCCATTGTACCACTTTTAGGATATGGCAATATCCGAGTACCACCAGTCGCCTAGCAAGGTGTCAAAAACTTGATGACACCCCCCCCTAAAAGGAAAAAAGTGATAAAGTACAGGTAGTCCTCGACTTACAACAGTTTGCTTAGTGACTGTTCAAAGTTACAATAGCACTGAAAAAAAGTTCCTCCCCAAGCCACAGCCAAGCAAGACACCTGCCGGCCTGCTCGGCGGCATTCTTCCTCCAGTCCGAGGTTTTCACTGTTGTGAGCATTTCTGTTGAGGATTGGCAGTGGGAGTGGGGTGGGGGGTGTTTGGTTTTTATTCCCCCCATCTTCTGGGTATTGCAGCAGATTTTGGTCACTTCACATGACCCTGGGACACTGTGACCGTCATAAATATGAATCAGTTGCCAAGCATCTGAATGTAAATCACAAGACCCTGGAGATGCTGCAACATTCCAGCTGATCGGAGTTTCTTCTGGGCTCAATACTTTTTCTGGGCTCAGCAGAAATGCCAGGATCAGTGCTGAGCTCCAGCTGGAGCCTGGCTCTGGTGCTTCCACTGAGCTCTGACAGCCCTGCAGCTCCAGCCATCTCTCATTCAGGCTTCTGCAGTGCTGCCACCGGTTCAGCTCATTCCCTTCCCCCACTACCACTTTTCTAGGGTGCTCGCATATCACCTGCCAGGTGCCAGTGTACCACAGGTGGTACCTGTACCATTGGTTGAAAAGCCCTGTTCTAAGCAGCCATTTCAAACAGTAAGTCAAAATTTCTGTCCTTTCCATTATTTAATCTACCAATTGAAATCATTCTGAGTTGCCTGCAAAAGCAGAAAAGAGTGGATAATGAGTAGAGCAAAGATGATGCACAGTTCTGTGATATAACAGGCTATGGAGATAGATCCCAAAATGTTGGCACAAAATTAGCCAAGGCTGAGAGTGATGATAATTTCCAATGCACTGAATCCAGTGGAAATTGCAAAATGCTCACCATTGTCTTCCAGGTTGGATTCAGGACAGATGCAGGCAATATCATGTCAACTCAGGGAGGTTTCATTTCAGCTATTTAGGATTTGCTATCTTAGAAGTTTTTAATCTGTGCAATTGGGTTATAAACCCATTTTCTATTATTTTTTTTTGTTATTTTTGTTTTTATTAAAACAAAAAAACAAGCTGTAGATATGCATGAATGTATTGGAATTAGAAATTGACGATTGACGATTGCTTACTAATAAGGATTCAATTAATTTCTTTATCAAGGTGAATTTGCACAATATGACTCACATATTTTGGCTGTATCTAAATACATTGTGCTGTAATATTCCCCCCTAAATTAAGTAATCTAAAATTTTTGTATTATAGTTTGTTGCCGGGATGCTTTTAATCTTATGTGACGCAATCTTCCAAATGTCAGAAGTGCTACTTCAAGGTAAACATATATACTGTCGCTCTGCAGCCAAAGTAAACTAGTTTGTACAAGAAACAAAATGAGCACATTTCTCAATAAGAACCAATAATTTCTATGTGGCGTGCTACATGGAAGGTTGCTGTAGAACTTGTAATCAAACAGGCCCAGCAACGTTTCTTTCTTTCTTCATAATGTTTACACTGCAATCTTTCCATTCCAGGCATTTTAACCAATCAAGACAAACAGAGATGAGACTACATATTGTGAGCAGCTCAGGAGCCTGGCCTCTTTAGCAAATCTGATACAAAATCCTTATGGTTAGCAAGCCAACATACCATCAAGATATACTTGGATTTCCTAAAGATACCAGAAAAAAGACACACATTACGGTAAGCCTCTGCTTATACTTGTGTTTTCAAATCTTTGGCCATAAATACTTCAAATTTGTGACATGTATTAGTAACAAATGAAGGCTGTATGAAATCACTGGCCTAAACTGAGAATGGGGATGATTAATCTGAATTTTAGAAAATAATATTGTCATAGTTGATCCTCGCCCCAATCTTAATTTATGTTGTGGAATTATTCCAGAAGAGTTCATTCCATATATCCAAAGTTTACCATGCAAATGGAATGGCTGGGAGAGATTTTTCTTTTGGTAAAAAAGGGACAACGTACTGCTTTGTATATTTTTACAAGTGCAGGTATATTTTTCAGTGCTGAAACTAAGAAATTAGAACAATGGTAGAGAATTTACTTGTTTGAGCACTAGAGGGTATCATGAAACACTTGTACAGCTTCTCAAATATTGTCTAAACAAGAACATTGACAAAACTGACATGGTTGAAGGAGAAGTATGTAGACTTTCTGCCATTGGCAACATCCTATAAATAATATATATGAGTGTGTGTTTAATGGTTTTAATAGATTACTTGGAGATTCACTCCTAGATGCCACAACATCTAAGTTTATTGTGTTCAAGGACTGTTAAAACATCTCTTTCAAAAAAACTGTCTTTATCAGCCCTTGAAGGAAGCAAGATCAAGAAACAGGCATAGTTGTGTATCTTAGAACAGTGGTTCTCAACCTGTGATCTGTGGACCCCTGGGGGAGTGCAATGTCATCACAGGGGAAAGCTTGAAAAAATGTTATGATTTAAATTTTGAGTTAAATCTTGGGGTTCCATTGCCATGGTCTGTGGCCACAAAAGGAATTTAAAGGGGGGGGTCCGTGATGAAATAAAGGTTGAGAACCATTGTCTTAGAATGTTCTTTATTGCTGTAGGGTAGAATAACAGAATCTTAAAAACGTCAGAATTATTGTCTGTTCCACTTTACACAGAGCTAAATCAAGGTGGGCTTATTTTGTGTTTCTTTCTTTTGCTTTCCTCTTTCTTATGAATTAATAATCTTTTCTGCATCTCCCTCCCCTTAATGGTCCACTCATTCTTTCTCAAGGCCTAATCTACTTTCCTTCACATCCACCTCCCCCATCAGAATTACTCCCCTCCTTCAGTTGCAGATGACCCAGCATCTTGCCAAGGTTAATGGACAAGTGTTAAAGGGAAGAGCTAGATAGACTTGGAAATTGTTCCTTCCCTTTTGTTGCATGGCAACTGCCACTGGAGGGTCCAACATGGAAAGAAGCAAAGAGGCACTGGGGACTGTCTTGTCAGTATTGGTAGAAGTTCAAGGGGATGTGAAAATTTTAGATACACCTCAGGATAGCCCTTCCAATGAGTAAGATTTTCTAAATGTCCTAGCTTGCATTGAAAACCCAGAATATATTATACCTTTTATTATTCTTCCTCATCCAGAAGAAGAATGATCAATCACAATAAAATCATTCCAATGCACGTTCTTGGAATCAGCTATCTACTCATGAATCTGGCCATTTTTTGGTTCATCTTGCAGATTTTCCAGATTTGACCTCCCCCCATGATCAGAATGTCAAAAGCAGCTCTAAAATTTTGCATTATTATCTAGTAATTATTCAACAATGGATTATTTCCTTCTGGGAGGAGCACTGCTCATCCTCACTTAATAACCTGTCTCTTAACAATTTATCAAAGTTACAATGGACCTCCTGGTTCCAGAGTTCTGACCTTATTCTCAGTGGTCACATGATTGCATTTCAGCTATCGGATCATTTTTTATGGCAGATTGTGGTTTTCGTAGTCACATGACTGCAATTTGTGATGTTTTTACCAGTTTCCAGCAAAAAAACCCAACAACCCATAGGAATACATTGACTTGCTTAACACATTAAGTTGTGTTCTACTTAATGACTGCTGTGTTCGCTTAATGATCCTAGCGTTCACTGAAGAACTGCTGCAACAAAATCATAAAATTGAGTCTGGTCATGTGGTTGTCTCGACTTACGACTTCCATAACTTATGATGGAAATTCTGGGCTGCATTACAATCATAAGTTGAAGACTATCTGTATGTGGTCACATTTATTATCACACCATTGTTAAGTGCATTAACTTAGCCCATTTTGACTTTCAAGCTCTGTCATAATTTATGCACTGACCAGGTGAGAAAAATACAACAGTATATGATTTGAATGGTAATTGATTTTATATATATAGAATGGAATGGAATGGAATGGAAAGGAATGGAAGAGTTGGAAGGGACCTTGGAGGTCTTTTAATCCAGGCAGGAAACCCTATACAATTTCAGAGAAATGGTTGCCCAATCTCTTCTTAAAAACTTCCAGTGTTCAAGCATTCACAATTTCTGGAAGCAAGTTGTTCCACTAATTAATTGTTCTAACTATTTTAATATATAAATATAATCTGCAGTAGAAGTTCCAACTTTATGAAATAACTGTTAGGGTTTCAGATATCTAACATTCTACAACGGATAAGAAAAGAACCCATATTTATTAGACTGAACCATATCCAGCTGGTCTGGCAAAGGTTTACTAGTATCTCTAAAATCAGTTCTCTGCCTACTTTTGTTCTGTCTCTTGCTTTTGGGTAACTTTAAAGCTTTATTTTATATATGAGCTTTTTATACCTTGCATTAGAAAAGAGTTCTTTTAACTCCTGCATTTGCAGCCTACCCTTTGTAAGTATTGCTTGTGGAAATTATTGTTGTTGTGTCTGAGGCAGGGAGGAATGTTTCATTAAGCCTTCTATCCTTCTGAGGTCGATAAAATGAGGACCCACATTGTTGGGGCCATAGGCTGATTCTGTGAACCACTTAAAGAGGGCTGTAAAGCACTGTGAAGCGGTATATAAGTCTAAGTGGTATTGCTAGTGCCCTTTGTTTTCATAAAAAGCAAAGGTGTATTATGCTCAAAACCAACTACATCCCTTTCAGTGCTGATGGATGTGAACAGAGAAAAGAGGCCATAACCAAATGCTGCATTGGCTAATGCAAATAAAAAAAATCTATGAAACACATCAACGTTTTCTTCTAAATCAGATGTAATCTAGAGCAGGGTTTCTCAATCTTTGTGGTATCACGATCCCTTGAAATAATTAACGAGTTTATGTGATTTCCCCCCCACACACACCTTATTATACTTTGTTCAGAATCTGTTTCGCATATGCACAACTGGATCATTTCCAGAAGTCATACCTGGCACCTGGGCTCTCCTTCTGTAACTTTTGTAGCTCATAGTAACCACATATTTGACACACCCCAGGCAGGGCCAAGACACTCTTGTCTGTCTCACCTTCCTTGCCTCACAAGGCTTCTTCCAGTGGGGAAGGTCACCCTGAATCCCTGAAGTTGAGCATGCTGCAAGTCTGCCCTAAGAAACCCAAACTCATAGGATCCTATCTGTGAAAGGGTCTGTGAAAAAAAAACAACTGGTCATTACTAAATAAGGAACAGATGCAGAATGGCCCTTTTGCACAAAGGAAGGAGTGAGGGATCTTTCCATAGTGCAGGACTAAGAAAGAGGCATAAAAGTTTAAATATTGTTTCTGTACAAAGGGCTTGCTTCTGAAATACAGCATTAACTGTATTATGGCTTCCTAAGTTTTCTTCAGTAAGGAATTACTTACCAGGAGTTCTTAAGATTCTTGTGAGTTTTTCTAATTGCTAATAGTCCTGCCTCTAGGTGAAATCTGACATTCAAAAGGGATCATTCTCTTCTGAGAGATGGAAGAGAAGAGATGTTGCATCTTCTAGGACTGGATGCACCAGAATCTAGCATAAAAGGCTCCAGGAAGAGTGATTGTTGGAAAAGGGAGAAGGTGAATACCCTGGTCTTCAATGGATCACTTTAGGCAATGCTTAGGAGCAGGCTGGGATTTTTCCAGGTGCTGTTGTGAAGAGTGCAAAGGCTGTTGAAAAAGATTTCTGGTATTTAGATACTATGCGGAGCCTAGTCTAGTCTCAGCAGTCAGCAAAGTCTCCCATGTCCACACTGAGAAGGGATAAGGAACTTCCTCTTTCAGTTTTGCTTCTGTGCCCCAAATTTACAATTTGAGACCTTCTGGTATTGGGAATGTGATGGCACATGTGTAGGTATCATTCTTTCAGCACTGCAATAACTTGGAACATTCGTTGAATGAATGGCCATTAATCAAGGACTACCTGTATAGCAATAGAAAACCAGAATAACTTACACAAGCTATTTTTATTTATATGCAAACCAATACAATGTAAATAAATAGACCAGTTTGAATATGCTAGGTTTTTTTATGGGAAATTGCTAAACAATTATTTGTAAGACATAGGATAGTGAATGTACCCGGGATTTGTTTCTATTTTCATTGTTTGAATAAAAAATAATAATTCACCTTATTGGAAAGTTATGCTAATAATTCACCTTATTGGAAAGTTATATTTCCTATCTTGTAGGAAATATATACATTTTGATCTATTTTTTTTCTAGGCTACACAGATAAATGGTTTCCTGGCTTTAATAAACCACAGTCTGTATCTGTCTGTCTGTCTGTCTCCCTCCCTCTCTGTCTCATATACACAAACACACACAAATGAACTGCATGATGAGTAATTCTGATAATTGCATTAATCCCATCAAGTGTCAGCTTTTCCATTAACTAAGAAATATATAATACATAGGTGTGGTTGTTGGTTTGTACATAGGTAGTTTAATATTAAATCATGCCTATAGCTACTTGCATTTTTTTTGTTTCAAGTTCATTTCAGCAGTGTTTTTTATACATTCTTCATAAAAATAAATATAAAATATGAAAAGAAGAAGCATTGTTAGCAATGTGAATCAATTCACTAGAGTGAAGTTCCAAAAAATTGTAAGTTACAGTAATAGATAGGAACATCTTTTATATTGGACTTAATAGAACCTCTTTTTTATAGAGTGTGTATGATACATTTCTTTACTGCCCAGTTCCCAAGACTCTAGGCAATTTATGCAACCACATCCCCATTAAAGAAAACTTCACT